AGCCCCTCGAAGGTACAGTTATTATTAACATACGATTCATAGGCTGAGCTAAGTATCTTCCTGAGCTAAATAACTCATCTGTTATGCCTCCTTAATCTGACCTTCACCTTGCATAACCCGAGTGAGTTATTTCCTCTGGGTGGAAGACATAGGCGTAAGATGACTGTCTAATCAGAAAACATCAAACGACTTATTTCGTTAGTTAAGAACAACACCCTCAAAATGATAAGTCTTTTCCAATAATTGGGTCAAATCATAGGAATTTTAACCCAAACTATAAATCAGTCCAAGGCAGCCTTGTCTTGGAGTCCCTAACCCCGTAAGTCACGCCTCCTGGAAGTCAATAACAATGGAAAACGGATTTCTAAGGAGACTTGTTGTTCGTAAATAAAGGCCCAGCAAGCTTCTTTACAGAGGCGGGATATGACGGTGTGTTTTAGCGTTAAATAATGGTATTGCCACGGCTGAAAACACCTAGCACAACCTTCCTGTTTATATCATACCTATAATTCTTGTGGTGAACGGGAGGGAGAGAGGGGGTGAGAGGCTGAAGGAGGGGGAAGGAGGAAGGGAGGGGTGGGAGGGAGAGAGGGAGAGAGAGGAGCAGGGCGTGGATGGTGGAGGTCATGAAAAAGAAAAAGGAGGAATATATAAAAATATTAAATTAGAGGGGGACTGAATGGCCTCGTAGAAAAAAATAAAACTGAAAAAAGGAAAGTTAAAATAAATTGATTGGGTAGAAAGAGGAAGACGAGCAAGTAACACAGAAATAAAACGAAGAAAAAAGCCAGGAAAGTAAGATGAGGGAAAAGAAGGAAAAGTTTCAAGGGAAAAAGAGAAGAAAGGAGAACAATTAAATAGATAGAAGGGGGGAAGAGAGTGAAAAGGCTTGAACATTCCAAGTCTGTGAATGTATCCTGTCTGGTGCGGCTCCTCTGCCAGCATTAGACTACGCGTCATTAGACATCATTACCTCACTCTGCAGGCCGTACAATCCTTGCTGCAGGCTGCTACTGCTGCTGCTGGTGGAAAGTAGATCAACAGAAGGAGACTTAATAACGACAAGTGATTGATGTTCACACACGACTAACTTTCCTTCTCCCACACAAGTTACCAAACGACACATCAATCATTCTTAAACAATCTGGAAGTGGGTGTTCGTTTTCCCGTTCTTATTCTTTCTCCCCCCCCACAAAAAAGGACAAAAAGTTCTCTAAAATTTTCTACACACACGCTGTATCGCTGCTTTACTGGGCGTTACAGAATGTTCAGATACACGGCCGGGCATAACACTTCCAACGCTCAAAGGCTGGATGGTGGTTCAGAGGCCCTTTGCTGGTGCAGGACGCAAAACGCATAAAATAATGACCCAATTCAAACAAGAAAACTGTAGTTGGGTAATTTTTTTGTTAGCCGGTGATGGTGAGTACAGCTAGTGTGTCTGTATATGTGTGTGTGACTAGTAATGTTATTATTATATTTGTTAACTCGGGTTACATTTTTATTGTACAGTCACTCAAAAAAACTATCTGTACTTGGGGTGATCGATGAATTTCAGAATGAACACTGTGACTCCTGTTGTCTCGGTAGGGTTGTCAAAATCCTTCGTCCGTTGTCATATTTTTTCAACACAATTTTATACAGATAATTTTTTGAGTGACTGTACATCACAGTTCGTCATTAGTGCAACATTTTTGTGTGTGTGTTTCTCGTAATGTATTGTATAGTCCTGTTCGTGTGTGTGTAATCAGACTGCTGTGTTACTTTCGTGAGTGGCAACACATTCATGGATAGTCTGGCGTTGTTATCGACCATGATGATATGTTTTTATGGCCTTACTGTGGTACGTTATGGTGCTGTTGTCCTGTGGTGTCCAGTCAATGTTTACACTCACTGCTTGGATGTGTCATGTTTTTGTCATATATTCTTTTTCTATTCAGCACAACAAGTTGACACATTTTTGGGATGGTTCTTGTAGGGTTATGTTTGGCTTTATATTGGTTTATAATGTGATGATTTTGTGATGTGCTGTAGTGAGGTGCGTCCAGTGTTGTGGCGAGAAGTTTGCTGACACTTTATCGCTTTACGCAGTCACTCAAAAAACTATCTGTACCTGGGGTGATCGACGAATTTCAGAACGAACACTGCGACTCCTGTTGTCTCGGTAGGGTTGTCAAAATTCTTCGTCTGATGTGTCATATTTTCTCAACACAATTTTGCATAGATATTTTTTTTAATGACTGTACCATGTTTTTGTAAAGCCACGACCATATTAATGTTACATCCACTATATTGTATTAATTATGTAGCTCCGGGTTTATATTTTTTATTTCGCTAATTAATTAAATGCCGTTGTTTTATTATAATGTACATATTAGTGTAATTATATTTTGTATTTATGATGTTTCTTTATGCTTCACATTGTCGTTCTGGTATTTCATTGTTAGTATTTTGTATTAATTATGCTAATATATTGTACTAGTTACGATGATGTAGTGTTTAATGTATGGTGATGAATTATGCTGCCTATGGTGATGTATTGTAACTTATATGGTGATGTAACTTAATTTCTAACGTAACGTAACCTATAAACGTGATGTTATCTTTTTAAGTAATGTGTTTTTGTAAGACAGTGTAAATGAAGGAACATATGAATGAATAATAAGTAAAATATATATAAAATTGATTGGATGGTGATGGAGGACATGGGTGGTGGACATGGGTAGTGGGAGGACATGGGTGGTGGACATGGGTGGTGGGTGGACATGGGTGGTGGACATGGGTAGTGGGAGGACATGGGTGGTGGACATGGGTAGTGGGAGGACATGGGTGGTGGACATGGGTAGTGGGAGGACAGGGTGGTGGACATGGGTGGTGGGTGGACATGGGTGGTGGACATGGGTGGTGGGAGGACATGGGTGGTGTACATGGGTGAGTGGGTGGACATGGGTGGTGGACATGGGTGGTGGGTGGACATGGGTGGTGGGTGGACATGGGTGGTGGACATGGGTAGTGGGAGGACATGGGTGGTGGACATGGGTAGTGGGAGGACATGGGTGGTGGACATGGGTGGTGGGAGGACATGGGTGGTGGACATGGGTGGTGGGTGACATGGGTGGTGGACATGGGTGGTGGGTGGACATGGGTGGTGGGTGGACATGGGTGGTGGACATGGGTAGTGGGGAGGACATGGGTGGTGGACATGGGTAGTGGGAGGACATGGGTGGTGGACATGGGTAGTGGGAGGAGATGGGTGGTGGACATGGGTAGTGGGAGGACATGGGTGGTGGACATGGGTAGTGGGTGGACATGGGTGGTGGACATGGGTAGTGGGAGGACATGGGTGGTGGACATGGGTAGTGGGTGGACATACTTGCTGGAGGACATTGTTTGGTAGACAGACCTGTAAGGGTAGACACAGTTGGTTGGTGGACATAGTTACAATTAGTAGCAATTAGATAAAACTCTCATTACATAAAAAATAAACAGACCACATTAAATAAATACAATAGTTACCAAAAAACATATGGCCACATGAAGGCGGGCGACCATTTTGAATCCAAAACCTGAGACGAGAATAGGAAAAAAATTCGAGGCAATAAAGAAAACGTAAAACACAGAAGAAAACAGGAATAGCGTCTCAATAATGACACTCCTTAATATCGGAAGACTGTTAGAGGAAAGCTAAGCCAGGATGGTTAAAAAAATGGGTGAGTAGGTGGGTGACATAGCGGGAGTTTTTGCTGATGTATATTTAGAGTGAAAAGAAAAATAGTAAAATATATATATGTAGGAAAGAAAGCGTCGTTAGTGCTAATGAGGCTATATAATACAAGGGGAGAAAATGAATGGAGTCTATATTCCATTATGAGAGAGAGACGACTGACTCTTCTGGTTGTATACGTAACGTTTGTGGTGTGAGTGATGACATGGAGGAGGGTGTTGGGTGGTGCTAGGTGATGCTGGAGGGTGCTGGATGCTGGTGATGTTGGGTGATGCTGGTGGTTGCTGGGTGATGCTGGATGTTGAAGCCGTGTCATCACTAACAGCATACTCACATATTGACATTGTATAACCATGAGCCTGACTTTCCTTCTCCCCCACCTTTGTGATGCTCCTCAACTGACAGTTATATTAAGGAACCTTTTATTATATTGGCAACACTAACTTGATGTACAAGTTAAAGGGTTGTAAAGGGTTGAGAATTCCATGATGATATTATTCTTTGTGGGTAATGAGAGTACAGTGAATAAACCCCCTTCCCCTACCTAATCTCCCACTGCGAATATTTTTCCAATTTTATTCACCACTTCATCTTTCTCCCTTCGCTACCTCTTTTCATCTGCGTTCAATAAGTCTTGTCTCTGTGTCCAATAGAATGACTCTCTCTTTTCGTCCTTTCAATACTAATCTAATAAATGTCTTCACTTTCATTAGTCTAAGTATACTTAGGAACTTTCTCAAAATTTTCATCATCGTTATTTATGTTTCTATTCACACAATGTTTTATTTTTCTTTATTTTTTATCTATTTCTCTTCGTTGGTCATTCGTTGTTGTTGCTTTCGGTGTCTCGAGTCTCCTGGATTGTTTACTTTCCTGTCACATCTCCTCCTGAATGACGAAACCAGAAATTCAGACTTGTGAATCGGAAGCAGTTATGGACACAATAATGTATCAGTCTACTGCTTGGGTTTCACGAGTCTGAATCTCTCGGGGGTTCGTGGTTCAGGGGGAGAGGCGATAGGATTTTTGTGGGTGATTGTACAGTATGCTGTGGTCCCTTATGACAATGACAATACAATACACTGTAAATAGTAAATAGATGTAATACTCCTAACGACCGTGGTACTATTAACAACATCAGCCGTAGTAACAAAACGATAGTAACTGATAAATGCAGTGGAAGTAATAGCATAAAGAGTATTATTTTACAAGATTACCAAAATCGAGGACAGGATTAAGGAAAGTAGTTTGTAAGGAAGTAATAATGGCGGCTTACCTTGCACTGCGTGTGTGAGGCGGGACACTCCGTATAGTCCTCTGGCTTTATACCGAAGCATGGGTTGACTGTGGACATGCCCTCACTCAACGACCCACACTGGTAGCACGACAAACCTTCCACTCGCGGCGCCAGTGCTGTGGGGACAAAAAATATGCTATAAAGTCCTCAATATACAGTATATATTTTATTATATACAGCTGAGTTACCCGGCCGTTCCTAGGTGGGGCTTCCGTTCTAGTGGTTAATTCGCCGTTCTAGGTGTGCTTACCCTAGGTGGGGTTACTAGTTACCGTGGGATTCCCCCTGTGGGGTTACTGGCCTTCTAGGTGGGGGGTTAGCTGGCCATTCCTAGGTGGGGGTTAGCTGAGTTACCCGGCCGTTCCTAGGTGGGGGGGGGGGTTAATATATGGGAATAAACTCTCTTATTTATTTCTGCTACATCATTTATTTAACGGGGAAATTTCGTTGACAATGTCTAATAAAATACATTAAATGGGAAACCAACATTTTCAAGCATATCACCAAATATATACACAGAGAGGTCTGTGAACAGAGCAATCGTACTCAACAGTTTCCGATTTCCAGGAGGCAGTTAATCAGAAATCAGATTGTTCCGGAAATAAAAACAGTTCATTGTAATACAATTATACGTAAATTACCCGCCTAAGTTCTGTGTGTTTGGTGGATTCATGAAGGAAAAATATATAAAATTCAACAAAATACTAGGTGGAGAATTTAATCTAGTCAGCACAATGACAACCAGGGAAATTTTGCTTGAAATGAAAACGCAGCGTTGTGTTTGGATCAGTTTTACGACCAGTACAATTACCTGGTTGTTTAGTATACTGCCCAGTGATTAACGTGGCCACTGTGTACATTATACTCTTTATTTACATTTCACTGTCGAGTATAACTTATGGAGTATTTTAGACATTTATTGTTACTTTACTACATACTAACAACACACATATTGTAGTTTCTTGTTTAATATTCTGTTCACTAAAACTGTGGGACTTCCTATTAACTGATATTGGTGAAGCACGAGCGTGAAGAATGTAGATGAACGTTTAACTCTTGCATTTACGTCTGAAAGTTGACTCTTCCGGGATTACCATTGTCAGCTGTTGAGAGGAGACAGACAGTGTTGGTAAAATGTTATCGAGGAAATATAAGTAATTATTATTATTATTATTATTATTATTATTATTATTATTATTATTATTATTATTATTATTAAACATACAACACGCGGAAGGGGATCCATAACGAGTTTTTAAAATGGTTCATAAACTGCCTGACGTGTAAGTGAGGACCCAACACAACAGACCACCTGCAGCTCCTGTGTAGTGAGAAGGAACGCTCCAGCTGACGCCATCTGCCTCTCCTTCCCCCACTCCCTCCCTCACTCCTTCCTTCTTTCCTACCCATCTCCTCCTCTCTTCTCCAAACACTACTTCCTGCACCACCGTCCCCTCCCTCCCTCCCTTCCATTCCTCCTACACACTCCCTTCCTCTCCTCAACCTCTTACACCAGTGGTTCTCAACCTTGTTTGCCCCATGCACCCCTTTCCTCCTCCCTTCCTTCCCAATCCTCAGCTTCTTGAACTCCCCTCCCTCTCTCCTTTCCCTTCCCTCCCACTCACTTTTCTCCCTCCTGCCCACACACACACACTCTCCCTCCCACCCCCCCCACTTGCTCCACCCCCCTCTCCCCTTCCATCCCTCCCTTACTCCCTTTCTCCCAAACACTCCATCCAACCCCCTCCCTCCTTCCATCCTACCCTTCTCCTCTCTTCTCTCCTCTCCCACACACACACACCCTCCCACCGGCTCCATCCCTCCCTTCCCACACACTCTCCTTCAACTTTCTCACCGACAAAAATTCGTCCCCTTTTAGTTGCCAGTGACATTACAAAGAGATCCATTTTCAAAACAAATATTCTTCACCCAAAACAATCGACCTCGAGAACTATTTGAATTAGTGACACAGAAATATGAGTTTGAACTTTTACTGTACGTCTATCTGAAACAAATATCGAGTTAGTACAGGTTAGTTTTTATATCTAGTCAACGAATGTATTGTTAAAGTTGTTAAATATTAAAAGTTTTTCACATTTTTTTGGGGGGATAGTTTAGGTTAGGCGAGGTTAGGGTTGGTTTAGGTTAGTTTATGTTATGTTAGGTTAGTTTGTTATTATAATATGTTATATTAGGTTAGGTTAGTTCACTACCTACACTGTAACCCACCAACCCACGTGCTACCCACCACAGCTCTAACTCCCCATCATCTCCCCACCTCCTCCCCACTATATCCCCGCCTCCTCTCCAATATCTCCCCACCCCATCATCTCACCACATCCTCAACATCTCCCCACCTCCCCATCATCTCCTCACCTCCTCCCCATCATCTCCCCACCTCCTCCCATCATCTCCCCACCTCCATATCATCCCCACCTCCTCCCAACATCTCCCCCACCTCCCTATCATCTCCCGCCTCCTCCCCAATATCTCCCCACCTCATTATCTCACCACATCCTCAACATCTCCCAACCTCCCTATCCTCTCCCCCATCTCCCTATCATCTCCCAACCTCCTCCCCAACATCTCTCCCTCCTCCCCCAACATCTCCCCTTCCTCTCAACATCTCCCCCTCCCTATCATCTCCCCCACCTCCCTATCATCTCCCCCACCTCCCTATCATCTCCCCTCCTCCCCAACATCAGACACGTTACAATCTCCATGAGTGAAGTTTAATGTTCCTTGGGCTAGCCTCAGCGCCACACCGGTAAAAAACATTCGCCAATATACAAATTTCGCGGATGTGTTTTTGACGATACGAAGATAAATGTGCATCTCAGCGAGTCGTACACTGAAATAAACAAACATACATACACACATACAGATTTGTGTGTATAATCGTAAAATACGCGTATTCATTATACATATCTATTACTGCTCTTCCATTACCCATTACTACCCATTTCTTCTAAGTTTTCTCACGATGTCTTTTCCTTCTCATAGTCCTGTCACCGTCTTTATGCCACACCCCTTCCTCCTTCTTCCTCTTCTTCATCCCTCTCCCATCTTCCTCCTCCTCTTCTTCATCCCTCCCTTCCTCCTCCTCTTCTTCATCTCCCCCTTCTTCCTCCCCTTACCTCTAACTCATCGTCCACTCACCAGTATCATCACCTGGAGTATAACCTTGGCACTCTTCCTCACATTTGATCAATCTTTTTTGTGTTATATTACGTGTGTAAGTTTCCTATATTTCCCCCATCCCCCCACCCCCCGTGCAATGGCCCTCCTCCCTACCTCTTTCTTTCCCTCCTCTCTTTCTCTCCCTCCTTTCTCCCCTCTCCCTTTTCTACCCCTCTCCCTTTTCTCCCCCCCCTCACTTCACCTTGATTCTCCTTCCCTTAGTAATTTATGCTCACTGTATTTCCTCATCACCTCTCACAAGGGCAGCCCATCAGCTCGCTCATATGTTTCCCCCAGATCCACACAGCACACATAAATCTTCTTACTGGCCTCCCCCCTGCCCTAAAAGCATTCGCGCCGAGAAAATTGAACCTGCAAGCCTCTGGCAAGGCATAGAGCCAGTCCACACATTTCAAGAGTCTATCAATGGTCGCCTCTATAGAGTCTTTCTCAAGGTGGTACTCTTTATTGTTTCTCCCTTAAAGTACAGCTCCCTAGGCTCTTATTTACACCCTAGGTATCTCCCCTCTCCATTTATTCTCCCTTACTCGAACTCAATGACAAAAGCGAAGGTGTAGGGAGCGAGAGGCAAGTCGGTGAATAAAGAAAGTTGACAGTAAGGTTGGGTTGGGTAATATGCCGTATGAAAGGCAATTCACATTTCCTTTACTGGTGAATGGGTCGTGGGGGTCAGACTATATTGTGCCACAAATTTCATAAATTGGGTTGTTTGTGCAGGGGTTAAACTTTTTTGTGGTATATTGCATCTTATCAACATTTCACACACGTAATTTACTTTGTTTTCACATGACTGGATAAGGTTTTCATCTGTCTGTATCTTTGTCAATAGAGAAATAAATTAAAACTTTTACTCATGACTTTCACGATAAGATACAGGTTACAAGACCAGAAAGGAGACAGATTCCCTTTGTTTTGTGGACTATGAGACTGAGACCAAACCTTGATGATATTAACGCCTGGCTAGAGTGATTCTCATTACACTCCTTCACTCACCTGTAGTGCAACTTCATTCCCATTATTATGAGGGAGGAGTCCGTTACATGTAGAGAGAAGTCCGTTATATGGAGGTTTTTACTATTTTTCATCATCTCGCTGTGATAGCAGTTTCCACCAGCCACTCAGCGTACAACTTAGGAATTCTTCACTGAGTCATTCCTTCCCCAGTTGCTTTTAATTTCCTGCTTAAAAGAATTCGAGTAGTTTATAAAGGAACACTAAATTGGTTGAAGACATTTATCAGATCTTAACTGGTGATGTTTTTGGGTTGTAATGAGTATTTAAAAGATGTTTATTGTAATACACTAAGATATGGTGAGCTTTGCTTAACCCTTTGACGACGAAAAATTAACCCTTTGACGACGAAGAATTAACCCTTTGACGACGAAGAATTAACCCTTTGACGACGATGATTTAACCCTTTGACGACGATGATTGTACCCTTTGACGACGATGATTTAACCCTTTGACGACGATGATTGTACCCTTTGACGACGATGATTTAACCCTTTGACGACGATGATTTAACCCTTTGACGACGAAGAATTAACTCTTTGATGACGATGATTTAACAAACTGGAAACTATATCAAGAGCAACAACAACTACCATCTCCTATTTCTGGCTCTCAATATTGACATCCTTCCCATATTTTCTGGACTTGTCATAAGTGCTGGGGACACTCCCAGATGGCAGGTGTCAGGGAGCCTATACCCAATCGGTACACAACACTATTACTAAGATTAAACCGCTTGCATCTTTCGGGCGGTATCAACATCTGGAAATAATAGGGATCAGTAATACTAGAACTAGAAACGGAGAAAAACACCTAATTATTAATATTATTCAGAATTCTTGATTAGAACATTAAAAAGTCTTGGAAGAAACACTGATCCGGAAGAATGTAAAGCTATACTGTT